ATATTCAGTGTGCAATTTCCTGCAATGGAAACAAAATATAACTTGGAGAAGAAATAAGTCTTTGGCTGGAGGACACCTACCCCCATAGCAGCTGGATCTTAAAGCCTCCTTGCTTCCACCCCCTAGATCCTTCCCTCTTTCTGCACAGCTGGAACCTCCATCTGCTGGGACACTACAGCTCCCTTGCCTCCACCCCTAGGTCCTGAACACCAGCCAGAACCTGTAGCTGTCCAGAGTGCAAATCCTGTCATGTACACCTCTGCATAAGACAGTAGTCTGGCCCCCTTCAGTCTGTTAGATAAACTAAGATTTCACAAACTCAGCTCTTGTGTGTCAACTAACTCAGAGTGTCACCTGACCCCCAGTTATCTTTCCTGCTTGGTGCAGGGGGCTGGACCCGATGATCTTCCGAGGTCCCTTCCGGCCTTACAATCTATGACTCTATGAGATGATGGAAGATATGCGGCTTTATTTTGTCAGTATTTAGTTGCTCATAATGGCATATAGACTTGATGAAAGCACTTCATTGTACTGACTGTATTAAAGAGCTGCAGCTCTTAGCAGATCATAATTACTGTTAATAGTTTCTTCACTCACAGCTCAGGCTTTTAATTCATGCACTGATTCTGAACTGTGACTTCTCTTTGTTTAAAAAAGGGTGCAGTCATCACATCTCTTAAATTCACTAGCTCTCCTCACATATCTTCTGTATGAAAATGTTCACTCAAACACACTATCCCCAGTGTTTTCTGTCCTTCCCTTACACACACCCAGCTCCCCTCTTTCAGTGTTCCTGCTTTCCCTTAACATAGCTGCAAGAGTGAGGCTACAAACAATAGTTTACCTTCACATAACAGAATCATAATTACCTTGTACCTTAAACCAACTATGCACTTGAAGGAAAAAATTAAAACGTGACAGTAAAATTAGAATGTTTATATTAATCAACTCCTTTCAGTATTGTCTCACCTTAAAAGCATATACACCAGAGCAGCAATGAAAGAGAAACTGAGTACTACTGCCACCAGCACCTGGTCACTCACTCCTTCTATAATTGAATCATTACTTAGTTTCAAGCTCTGAACTTCTGCTTGTTGACTGGCCATTCCAGGTCTAAAATATAAAAAGAAGATATATAAAATATGCATACCAATGTGCACACATGTACACGCACATATGTAGATACATACATGCATGCATGAAACTCTTAAATCTATAGATTATTCGCTACTTGGAATATATTCCAAAAAACAAAGGAAAATGGGGGGGGGGGGGGGGGGGGGGGGGGGGGGAGACCCGGGACTGCCATATTTACATCATTACAAAAAGAGGTTTTTTTCCCCCATTCATTGAGGAGACAAGACAGCCTTGTCTTAGAATTGAACATCAGACCCTTCCAGCTGGGCTAGCTGCTTCCCATGCCTCAAAAAGGATAGAGAAAAACTAGAAGTTTCTAGTACAGAGAAGGGCAACAAGAATGATCAAGAGCTTGATTCCCACACCTTAAAAATGCCAAATCTTAGTTTTCATTAATTTTTTGACTATGATAAAATAGAGTAATTCTTCTGTTGCAAAGAGCTCAGAAAGAACACAGCAAGTCAGAATGTTTTTGACACTATAAATTTGTATTTGAAATCTCTGGGTTTATCTTGTGAATCATGTCTGTGTGCCTAACAGTGCCAAATGCCCTATGATAGCCTAGAAAGGATTTCAAGGTACCCTGGTTAAGAAACACTGGCTTAAACTAACAAGTGGAAGTTATTTTTCACATGGCACAAAGTTAACTTGTGGAACTCACTGCCACAAAATATTGTGCAGGCTGGTAGCTTAACCCAATTCAAAATGGGGCTGGACCAGTTCTTGGAAGAAAGGTCCACCATCAGGTACTGAATATGGTAGATAGGGATGCAGCCTCTGAATCAGAACTAAACCTCTGAATGCTGGAAGCTATAATGGGAGAGGAAAACGTTATGGACAATTCTGGATGTGCCCTGTCCACTCACTCCCTCAGTACCCACTCTCTGCCACTGTGAAAGCAGGATCCTGGCCTAAGTGTGCCTATGGTCTGACCCAGTAAATAGCATTCTTATGTTCTTACAGAACATTCCTCTACCTATGGCAGCTATGGGGTGGGAGAACTTATAAATACCTTAAAGTTGGCTTTATTTGGTTACTATAGAAATCAATGGGAGTTTTCACAACAATTTCAAAGAGAACAGAGTTAGGTGAAGATGATGCACTTTTCATAATCATTTTCTATACATTTACTTATAAGGAAAAAGAGTAGTAAGTGTTTTTAAGCTGAGAGTAATAAGCACTTTTTCTGTTCTTAAAAGATGGAATTGTGTCAGTTCTTTGTTTTATCTGTCCTTCATACCATTCAGTTTTCCTCACCGGATAACACAGAGATTCAGAATTAAGTACTCACAAACTAAAGTACGCTACTGACTACAGATGGGAAACCAGCTGGCAGAGCCTTGGAGAAAGGAAGAAACCTCAGGGTACTCTTTGCTCTAACCTATGACATACCACTTTTGTATTAGCTTCACACCTGTGAAGACCAAAGGGACTTGGTCAGGGCTAACGGTCACTAAGTTATAGCTGGAGTTGGCTCTTATTGATAGAAAAATGTCAGTGGAGAAGATATTACCAACCCCAAAATAAATAATGCAGAATTGAAAGAAAATCCACTAAGTCATGGAGATTAATATGTGCCAGCAAAGGAGGCATAACTTGTAGAGGAAAGAACACCGTTTTAACCTGGGCAAATCCTCCTCCACTCGATTTACTACGGACATTGCCAAAAAACACCATACTACCTCTTCTACACAAACTAAACCTGGACTGTGCAGTTCCTTTGCTCTTTTTAGTGTGGGATGTTACTCAATTCAGGCCCTCTACAGCAGTAAGGAAGCAGAAGCCAACATATTCTGGTTCTATAGTAAAAAGGCATACAATATTATTTTAAGTACTGTAGAACTGAAGAAAAGTTATAGGAAATGAAGGCTAGATTCCTTTCATTGTTCCTATATATGTGAAAACTAAAATGAGACAATAAACCATACAGGAAATAAATGAAACAAGAGACTAAGATGTGCCTCGACCTGAACAAGAACTATTATTTCTGCAACCCTAGTTATAATTTCTGCTAATTATGGCTTTCCCCAAGCAAGTGTGCCACAGTCGGTTTAACTACTGAAATTCAGAGCAATATTTATACAGAACATTTCTTCTGAAGGCAGCAAACCAGTGACTTGCTAAGAATCTAAATTAAAGAAAGTTGGAATTAGCACAATAGTTTTCTGTAATACTGATACATAAAAAACAGCAGACTGTTGTGGAACAGTCAGGTCCTACGTTCTACTCTACTTTAATAATATTATTAACTGACTATGACACCTTTGGCTTATCTCTTTGATATGAGCTCCCAAATACTATGTGACAATGATTTCGAGATAAGAAATGAGAAGAATATTTCATACTGGTCAAGAAAATTATCCCATTATTGTAGATACACTAATTATTCTTTTGAGTCCGTATAGTTACATGGTCCCCATCACCACTGAATCTGAAGGCATACAATCCACAGTTTGCATGAAGCCCACAACACAATTCTGTACTTATTATCTACTTAATATGTACTTGCACTAAGTGCCACCTACACAGCTGTAACAGGGGTATTATCACCATCCAGCATCTTCATTTAAACATTCAGCATCTCAATTCCCACTCACATCACACACTTACTTTGATGGACTCGCTCTTTTGTATGCTCCTTTCTAAGCCAGCTTCTTACTATGAAGATGTTCTAAATATTATGAAGGTGCTTGTAGTTGGAAATGGCTATGACTTCCATTTAAGACAGAACTAAAATTCCTGCTTCTCACTTTAATAATTAAATTTAATCTCCAAATTCAGCACAAAACATCCATTCACCTCCCAAATTTCAGACTGTATTTCACTAGAGGCCACTGTTGAACTTTCAAAATTCTATCAATACAGAATTATTCCCCTTACTACGGACAACCTAACATAACCTGTGCTTTTCCTGAGGAGCAAAGTAAAAGTGAGTTCTTGGATAGGGAGGGGCTTGATTGGTGAATTTGTGCAGGAGGCCAGGACTGGGAAAAATGTGCGAGTGGCTGTGTTTTTAGCATGGAGAATTTGAAGAATCCAGGGCTTTGAGGCTTCGTCTACGCAGAAAATAATCCTGGTATAAGAGAGGTTATAACTTTAGAGCTGTGGTCCCTAACCTTTTTAAGGTGAAGATCACATTTTGAAATAAAGAGCAATCTGGGATCTACCACCCCCTGCCCGAACTGCCACCCCACCCCCTGCCCAGCTGTCAAAAGCACCCCGCTGGGATCAGCCATGCAGACTTCTCCTGTTCCCGGGCGCCACCTAGGCTCAATCCCACCCCAATCCCAGTAGCCTGAGCCCCAGGGGCTCTGGGCTGCAAGTTCCTGCCCCCCCGGCTTTCTCCCCCCAGCCCTGTCCCAATCCCGGCCAGGCAGAGCCGCGTCCTCCCTGGCCCAGAGCTGCAGCAGGGTTGGTGCGGGGAATGGCCAGCAGCCTGGAGTAAGCAGGGGCAGGTTCCCCCATCATTTCTTGGCATCTCTGGGACCCTTCTCGGCCCTGGGACACGGCCTTTGCTGTTCTGCCAAGGGGACGCAAGTCCCAACTGGAGCCCAGAGCTCAGAGTGGGATGGGGGAGGCTGGGACAGGGAGCCCAGCAGGCGTGGGGGGCAGGGGGTGAGTAGTGCCTTCCTGAACACAGCCCACGTGGGGCAGAGTGGAGCGCACCAGAGCCCTGCTCCTCCAGCCCGGGTATGGAGCAGGTGCAGTCTGGGCAGCCCCAGAGCAGGGATGGATCCCAGCCAGTCCACACGTCTCACCTGGGGGGCGGGGACTGCAGAGCAGCAGCGTGGATCCCAGCGGTGTAGCTGCAGCCCCACAGGGAAGTGCACCGGGATCCTGCTGCCGCCTGCTGCCTACAGCAGGGTCAGGGTGAGCATGGCAGACAGGGCACATACCCTCTGGGCCTCTGCCGGGGTGCATGCAGCGGCAGAATGACCCCCCGCCCCAGCTGAACAAGCCGCCTCATCCCTCACCAGACTGAGATCGACTGTCAGAGGCTCCATGATCCAGCAGTCAATCGAGATTAACCAGTTGGTGACCACTGCTCTAGAGTATTATATCTCAATATAACTCCCTTACTCATTTATTTCAGTATAATAATGCTTTTTTGGAGTTAAACTGCTTCCAAAGAAATATAAGCTAAGCTACACTAAAACACGTACTCTTATTCTACAAGAAGAGTCAGTATTCACACAAAGAGTGATAGCAGTAAAATATAGCAGCTTAACCATATTGGTATACTTACATGGGTACGACCTCCTGTGCAAATGAGTTTGAAAGCTATACTGATGAGAAACCTTTTTAAGGATGGAGAGACTGGGCTCCTCTTTACACTGCACTGCATACATTGCCCAAGTTCCCCTGCCACTTCTTTTTTTTTTTTTCCTTTTCCACTCATAAGGAAACTTCCTTTGGCAAATCTCCTGTGGCAAGTTCATCACACCATGAATACAGCTGTAGAACATGAATACCTCCAGCAAAGCCCAGGTGGCATTCAGAGATCACAACTCTTACATTTCTGCTGTCCTTCCTTGTCCTATCAAAACTTCATTACTTCACTATTCTACTACCTCTACTACTACGCTAATCACCCCAAGAACTCCCTTCCCAATGGAACTGTTTGGCCCCAAGGCAAAGACAAACACAGACATATCTGTCTGAAGATATTGTAGTTTATGAGCACCAACACTGCAGCCTTGTTCTTAATATGGCAAGACAATAAGAGTTACCATGGAAAGATCTACTAGCATGAGTAGCAGAAGCAGAGCAAAATGTATGAGGATTCCTTCCCTCTGATCTACTCCTTTGCTGTGCTCCCTGCTGCCCAGGCAGCCTTGATGGATTTTCCCAGGTCCGTCACCCACAGTCCTATCTGAACCTTATGTTAAATTGTTCCTGACGCAACAGGTGGGCAAGCATGATTCACAGGATAAAGCCAGCAAGTACAGCTAGGAATCCATAGTGTTAGAAACATT